TAATTCTTACTGAAGGTTCGTAACAACTAGAGAGATGCCTTATTTCATTTATAGTGAAAAAAATATTTTTTTAAAGATTCTTTTTCATTTATTATTTTTGATTAAAACAAGATTTGACTTTATTCAATCTGTTGAATGAAGCAAAACAGCGGAAATAAAGTACAAATAATGGAACAATTAATTTTTGTGCCGTTTTTTTGTGTTTTATTCTTACGTAGAACAAAAGTATACCCTATCATGTTTTGATTGTTCAAACTGTTAATTGGGTACTCGCACTTCAAGAAGAAGACCTCCCATGCCCACACAGGTGACCTATTACGTCAGTGCCAGCTAATTTTTATCAGAAAACTGACGTATTAAAGTTGAGTTATATTTCTCTACAAAAGTTAGAATGTTAATTAACGATAAATTAACTATCGCACATCGAATTAATTGAAATGTAATTCTTTCTCGTTTACTTTTTTTGCTTAACTTAGATTTATTATTTGTTTATGTATTTTATTGTAACCGTGATATACTTTTGTTTTTTGTACCTGGCAACTTCGATGCATAATTAGTTTGTTTATGTTCCTCATGGCTTCGTGTTTGTCTTTACGTTAAGTCTCTTTGTGAAAGAAATGGAATCTTTGAGAGAGAATCTTTGTGAAAGAATTTAGAATGTGTCACGTAAGAGAATTGATACGTGACGGGTTTTGCTGACTCGAAATAGAAGGGAAAGAACAGTTGCTAACGTAAACAAATGCCACGTTTCAAACCTATCAGAATCGAGATACCCACACTACGTCACTTGCAGGTTCTCATTGAGGTCTTGTAGTAGAGGTGCACAACCTGTGGCCAAATGCGACCGTTTTTTGCCCTCTCTGATTTCCAATAAAAAACTAATTTTTACAATTAGATATGCTTTATTATATAGATTTAACAATATAACTGACCTAAGAAATTTTATAACTATTTTCACAGCAATTTTAATAAATTTAAAAAGAGAGACACCGAAAAAATAAAATTGGAATTCTAAAATGAAGAGATTATTAAACTCAAGGCGTCAAAAGATCTAAATCTTTGAACTCTTGAATTTTGAAAATTTATTTAGAAACATATTTAAAACAAAGCACAATTTACGAATTTATATAACGGTTAAATATATAAGTAATTCATATGCAGTAAAAATCAATGAAATAAATTTTTACTTCGAGTGGAAGTAAATGAATAAAAAATAAATAAAATCGATTAAAAAATAAGTAAAACAAAACTTCAAGTATTTTTTTTTATTTTAATTTTTTATAAGGTTATGTTAGACAAAATTCGATCCTTAAATTATCAATTCTTATTTTTACTTTTTTTTCTTCTTTCTCTTATATTCCTAGGAGATACGTTTTTATAATAGATTTGATAATTGAATTATAAATTGCATTTCAATTGCAAAAATAAATATTGTTTGGCGTAAGAAATTTAAAAAGAGAGAAAAAATATTTTGGTGGGTTAAATATTTATTTTTAAGTCACTATTTTTTTTAAATTCAATTTAGTTGGATTAAAATCGGGTATGTACTAAATTAATGAAAAAAAGCGTTTTTTTTTTTTTTTTTTTTTTTTTTTTTTTTTTTTTTTTTTTTTTTTTTTTTTTTTTTTTTTTTTTAACAATTTAAACCTTAAAATAAATAGCATCGATGGTGCAAAATTATTTAAATCGAAAGTATAAAAATTTATTTAAACTTTTCAATTCATGATTAGTATTATTTTGGAATCATCGTTTCCTTTTTCAATTTACTTTTTTTTTTTTTAGAATATTTTTTTTTAAAGCTTGTATCTCTCAAATATTAAGACCCTAGTAGTAACACAAATTTAATAGAATAATTATCTATGCATTTCTGCATGCGTTCGTTCTATGTTCTGCATTTTTCAGCTTGCATTAAAAATTAAATTATTTTTCAAAGCTAAATAAATCATTTTAAATAAATCATAAAAACAAAAACAAATTATTTTTCCTAAATTGATTTGGCTCGTTAATTTCTTTAAAAAAGATATCAGTGAATTTAAATCAAGATTAAATTGATTTAAATTATTGAAGTTCTATTTTCTGCTGTTAGAGGCTTTGAACGTATAGACTTTAATTTTCCCTTGCATGTTGAATGTCCTATGATATTTTGTTATAGAAAGATTTGAGGATCCAATTTTTTACATAATGCAATCCGAATATAATTCATACATTCTAAATTCCATTTAAAAAATGCCTGTTTAATTTATTATTGTTAACTGGGGCTGACCAAAAGGACCTAACAGCACCCCTGTCCTCCACTAACTGACAAGAGATTCTCGGCACATGCGAGAAAATATTCAGTGAAATGGTGTCGATGTCGCTATTTCCTTTAAAAGTTCTTTTAAGCACCATCAGATGCTAAGTGTCTGCTGGTGCTCACCTCTTTATAGGGCCACTTTTTTCTAGAAATGTATTGTTAAAATATTTTTAGGATTAAGATTGATTTATAAAAAGAAATTCAATTAGCTTATTATCTAAAATTAACTTAATTTCTAAGACGATTTTTATTTATTTATTTATTAATTTTTTGGTGGCAAAGTGATTGCGATTTTTTTACAAAAAAAATTTTTCTATAAAGAAGCGGCTATAAATTTTAATTTTTTTCTTATAAATAACCGAATTTATAAACTTTGTGTTTATAAATACGAACGCGATAAGAAATGGTCAAGTGAACTAACACATAACGTACTAACGCAAATGAACGTAATGCATAACGATAGCTTCCCATTACCATCCTCTATTCTTGACCCTGCCTTTTCTTTACTGTTAGCCACATTTAAAAAAAACAAATCCCTCTTCTCAAGTGTTTTTTATTTTATTTTCTGAAGTTATCAACAGATGGCCGCACAAAGTCTAAGTGAAAAAATAGTTTCTTATCGACGTTTAAAATCTAATGAGTTTGGTGGGATATAATTCTCACGGCTTTATAAAGGATTGAAGAAGAAATACAGGCTAGTTGACAAGGGATTGGAAAGATATATGAATTTTTTTTCAACAATAGTTTTAGATAATTTAAAATTCAGAATCTTTCCCCCAATTTCTACTTTACTGCTTTATGAAATTAAAATTAAAGTAATTCTCCATTTTTTTAAAATTATGTTTCATTTGACTTGAATATTTTTTAAGGTTTCTTAGATATTTTTTTTCCCTTTCTAATTGTAAGTTATCCTTTTAATCAATTTCCAGCGTGCTATGAGTTTCAAATAAGCATGTAGGGTAGGGCGGGTTAAAAAAAATTTTTTTTTTAAAGTTTCGGAACGCTTTAGAGTGCAAAATTTGCTTATAATTTTCATTATTCAACTACTCACTCATTTTGTTAAAGAAGAACGATCCAGAACTCACCATGTGAAGTTGGCTGTTCGTCGAGTTCCAGCTGCACCCTAATCAACAACCATTCATTTTCTCTGTGTTGCACATAGTTATATTATCTTTATAACTATTTACAAAGATTAGTTTCGCAGCATTGGGGGCGGATGTACCACGCAAGAATTTCATTTAATGATTTCAAAATAATCTGAAGCTTGAAAGTTTATCAACATAGTTCAAAATTTGGTCTTTGTTCATTCGAATTTTGGTCTGGTCTTTACTCTTTGGTCCTTGGGGTCCAATCCAGAAGAGCAAACTGTATGATCGAAAAAGACTACAAAAAAATTTCGTACTGCCGATGATAAACTTTCAACCTTTGAATTAGTTTGAAATAATAAATTGGAATTCTCGTGTGATATACCTTCCATCACAGTTGCAAGTTTCATGAATATGATGTTAAATCACTCATAATTTCTGACTTTTTTTTATTTATTTTTTCTAAAAAAAATTACGTGACGTAATAGATTAAATTATCAATTAGAATTTCATTGATTCAGGATATTCGAACCATCAAACATGAATAAAAAAACTAAATCGTATTTATTTCAAAAGTTTTTGCCATCTTGAAAAAGTTCTATTAAGTGCATTTTTTCAAGTTTTTATGAATTTTAAATATGATGTGTGTGAATGAAAGATATAAACTGATTTTAAAAATTTATTCTTAATACAATACGCAACTTTTGTGCACTAAAACGTTCCAAATTAAAAATTTTTAGTCTTTGCTGACACACTTAAATGTAAGGTTTGTTTTAAATATCAAAATATTTGTATCTCAAATTTAAAACAGATTTTTTACTCAGATTTATTTATTTAGTTTTTAAAAATGTATTAAAAGTTTTTTACGAATTCTTCCCTCCAAACTAAAAAAAGAAAAATAATAATAAATAAATATTAAAAAATTGCATCAGTATTTTTTAATTTTATTCGCAATTTTAATGAATTCCTATTTCGATTCCATTTTAATCTTTTATATTTAAAAAAAATATTAATTATTTAAAAACACAAGAAAAATCAGAGTGTAAAATGGTAAGATGTTAAAAACCTATTAGAGGCTGTTCAATTACTAAGTAAGCACATAAAGTTGTAGGGGCTTATGATTTATTTATTTTTGATGACAAGAGTTCATTTTAGACTCTACACCCTTATTTTGAGCATTTTTTTTAACTGCTAAATAATTATGAGAGAAAAATTTGGAAAAAAAATGCATTATGAATAATTTCAAATTTGGAATAAAATTTCAATTTGATGATGGAAAAAAGTTGGGAAAAAATTTCTCAAGGTAACATAAATTCAATTTATGCAAAGTTAAATCTTTTAGGTATTTGAATTTAATTCTAAAATTCTTAAAATTAGATCGTTATAGCTGAAATCAAAGTGGAGACGGAAAAAAAAGAAGACTTTTTACTTTTTTGCTTAAACATTATAGAACAAGAGGGGAAGATGTCACGTATTATTTAAATGGGCCCCGAGCAGATTTCATCTTTGGAATATGAAATGTGAAATTACATACGAAGGAACGTTGTACGAAGGAAATTTTATTGTATGTTGAATCTTAAAAATAATTTCTGTTAATGATATTTCAAAATGATTAATCTTACCTCGTAGTAATCATCTTCATTTACAGTATTCAGTTTATAATCTGTTGGGATATCACTATCACTTAAATTCATCTCTTCTCCTCTTACCGTGTATACCAACCAAAGAAATCCATATAGAAAAAACACAATCCACATTATAAACAGATAAATACAGTTCTTTATATTTTGAATTATGTACTTTTATCACTTAATAATTTAACGATCAGTTAATACTTCAACATAATCCGGGGGGAGGAAGCACTATTTTATATGAATGCACATTACGATGTAAATATTGCATCGATAATTTCTACCGCTTGCAGAAATATTCAAATTTTTATGAGCACTCTTTCCACATTTTGCCTACGATCATCAAATCATAACAAAACTGTGCCAACTGCTCCTCGTCTGTTACTAGTTCTCTTAGATAGTGATGCCTTTTTAGTTGATGATCCAGATGATAGATGAAACACCATCCAATCGCCAACTGGCATCTCGGTAGTCAACCAACGAGGCGCATCCTCACTTTGTTATACAGAGCTGACGTGATCTTTAAGGGTGTGCTACTAATGCATCCGAGCACATCATAAATTCCTTCCATCAAAAATCTCTTGTCTCTATCGACCGATAGCTTCAAGCTATTAAATTTCCTTATTTTCTCTTTTGTTACAATTTGATTTCCTTCTTTTTGCAATTTTTTTTCTCCTTCCCATTTTGACTATTTTGTTTTCTGTTTACTCTTTTTTTCTTGGGCAAAATTTTCTGACCCGAGAAAATTAAGGTGAAGAGGAGGGAAAACGGTTCCAAGAATCAACTAATGATTTAGTATTAAACCCTTTGAATATCAGTTCTGATTGCATATTGTGAAAGAACTTTAATTTGTTCTCCTTTTTGTGCTCTTAATTTACCTCCATTTACTTAATTTTATTTTGTGTTTTTTTCCCGTCTTGTTTTACGCTTTCTGCCATGCTTTTTTTTCTCTTTTTTTTTTTTTAAATAAAATGAAAAGAATAGATAAAGATCAATAAGTTTGAGTCGCAGTCATTTGCAGTCATTGTTCCTTTGGTCTCGTTTATTTCTAAAAACTATCCATTTAGAAATGAAAATGTATTTTACTCCATAAAGAAAATCCTATTTTCGAAGAACAAATTTTACTGCAAATCAGGAAGATGAAGGTCGTATTTACCTGCAATAAGGATTAAGGCACATTTAAAGTTTCTTATAACTCATTTCTGTATTAATTTTTCTCCTTCTCACTTAAGGATTTTTTTTTTGTTGCTTTTTTTTAAACAAACTTCTCTGACTGTGACTTGAGAAAGTTAAAGTAAAGCTGAGGGAAAACGTACCCGACAATCAACCAACGATTAAGTATTCCGGTTTAATTTTAATTTGAAATAAATAACTGAAAATTGATTTTTATTTAAAATAAAGAAATAAAAATTAATTAGTTTGAGTGCTTTAATTTGCATTTTTTTTTGTTATGCCCCATTGAGAAAACCCTATTTCCGTAGAACAATTTTTACTGAAAATTAGGAAAATAAACTTCCTTACCTGCATCAAATGAGGATTAAATCTAAAAAGTTCAATACAACTCATCACTGTATGCATTTTACCCCTTTTCATTTTAAATATTTGTTTTCAGTTTTTTCCCTTTTTTTTTCCTTCGTTTTTTTTTTCTTTTCTTCTTTTACCAAAATTCCCTGACCCAAAAAAATTAAGGTGAGGAGGAAGGGACCAGTTTCCGAGAATCTACTGACAATCCAGTATTAAACTATTTGGATATCAGTTTGATTGCATACTGTGAAAAAACTAATTTGTTCTCCTTTCTATTCTCTTTATTTACCGCGATTTTTTTTTTGTCTCTTTCTCCAAAAAAAATAATGATTGCTTAATTAGAGTTAATACGCAGTCATAGTTCCTTTGTCTTATTTATTTCTGTTGCTAAATTACGTAATTTGTTCAAAAACTGTACGATTAAAATGATGATGAACAAGTTTTGTTCGCCTGCATCAATGATAAAGAGTATGGCCATTGTAAAGTTTAATGTAATTCATCACTCTATTGAATTCAGAACATTCTAATGTCGTTTAAAGTTGTATGGTTTTGACTGATTAAAAACAGCAAAAAGTTGGAGATTAGCCTTTTAATTTATCAGATCATTGTAGGTGTGCTATTTTTTGTTTTGCAGAAATTAATCTTTGTATTTGAATAATAATACTAATAATAGAACATTCAAATGCTTGTATGAAATTTGTGCTCCTTTTTTCAAACAAATTGTTTATTTCTGATTTTTTTTAAAGAACTATTTCAGTTGTCTTCCTATTAAATGTTTTTTTTTAATTAATTAAACTTTTTTTTCAATTTTCGCTTTGTCTTGATTTCTATTTATTTTGATTGATGAGTTTTAATGGCTTCATTTATAATAGTTTTTATTTGTGTTCTTTACTTCTGTTTGATGATAATGTATTTTTTCTACAAAGGCGAAGTAAAGAGTAAGGTTTTATTTTGCAATGTTTAGTTTTATATTTTAATGGTGGTTGTTATTTTTACTATTTTAATGAATTTGACAAATTTATTATTTGTCAATTTTTTTTCTGGAGTTATGTGTTTTTTCCTTCCACGTTATTCTTAATGAAGTTTATTATTCTAAATTTTATTCTTCATGTTCTTACACTTGGTCTGTTCTGTAGAAATTAATCTTTTTGTTTAAAATTTTTTTTAAAAAAACTATTGGTGAAAACTTTAGACTTCTTTTACTTAGCTCTCCAAGAGAAATACGACTTTTTTTTAAATATTTTATTGCTCAGAAACAGATTTAAATCTAATTTTGGGATTTTGACCTTTAAAATAATTTTTTTTAAAAATTTATATTTACTTATAGCCTGATGTATATAAGGAATCTTATCACCCTTCACCTTTAAAATTTTCGATTTTTGAAGAAGGAAAAATTTGTTGTGCCCTTATTTGTTTTCAATAGTTTGAGAACAAGTTTTTGTCAATATTCAAAATATTTCCTTAGTTATCCTCTAAAAACAGTTATCTCTTCAGTAGTTATGCTATGTTATTTTTCATATTTTATCAGCGTCTTTAACTTGATTTTTCTCTAAAGTGGAATTTTGAGCTTGCGCACTTGAAATCCTTAAAACTATTTGTGATATGTATTAACTTGAAATTTTTTACACATCTTTATATTAATCTTTTTAACATTTTATGCATTGATATTTAGATATTACTTGTGTTAAATAGATTTTATAATTGTTCCAACTGATTTTTAAAAAAAATATTTTAAAATGTATTGAAATTTAGGAAAGAAATTATAAAATGATGTATACGTTTTAGATACATTTTTACGCATAATTTAAGATCCCTTTTACTGAATTCGTGCATAAAATTAACACAACAACTTGTATGTTTTTTTAAAAAAAAATTTTTTAAGCCTTCTCAAGTTTACCTCATTAAGTAGTGTAAGTTGTGAAAAATATATTTTATGTATAATATTTTTAAGGGTGTTAAGCTATTGATTCAAACGTCTTTTTTAGTTAATTCAAAAATCGGAATTCCACTTACTTTTTTTAGAAGTTATACAGGGTTCCCACAGTCTGTATTTTTTTTTTCTTAAGTAATAGCAAAAGTGAGATAAATCTAGAAGTTTTAAGCTACCAATAAATATTTTAAATGAAATATTTATGAATGCAAAAATAGCTCAGGAAAATTTCGTAATTCTCAAACGAAAGATAAATTTAAAATTTTTTTGAGTAGTCTTGAAAAATAGTAGTTACTAGTTATTTATATTTTCCAGTTTATAGTTATTTTAAATCTTCTGCATTTTCAATGTTTTTTCTATGTCATGAGATCCCATGAAATACGTTTTTTGTGCCATAGTTTTAACATTTTAAACATCGTCTGCACTAACTAATTAGCATATATCTTAAACATTTTTAATATTTTCGTATGTTTTAGTATCTGAAAATCCGACAATTATGTCAAATCAGCTGTTTCGTTTCGTATTATGCTCCCTGTGCAGTAGTTAATTACAATCTTCACTGTTCGATCATTTAACCTTAAATATACTCATCAATTAGTTAAGGGTATTTTTTTTATGAAATCAGATAAAAAAAAACGTTCTTTTTCGAATAAATATGTTTTTTCCCCTCCGAATATAGATTCCTGTTCTTCAAAATATGCCGGATAGTTGCAATTTAAAAAAATAAGGTTTCTTTAGATTAGTTAAGAGAGTGGTCAAGAGTTTTCACTTGATTTAATTTAACCTTCTTTTGTACATATTAGTATTATTGTTACAGTATAATAACGTAATGTCTACCTTTATAATCTCGGACTCTAACTCAGTATAAACGGTACAAATGTGGTTGCCACCTCTCCCGCTTCACACACGCCCACGTTATTCGTTGCTAATCTTTGTACCAGTACTTTCTCTGTATATATTTTTTTTTTATCCCTGTGCTTTCGTATTTCATATATTTTAAGTTTAGAACAAGAATCACATTGTTAAGCCAAACCCCATTTTGCTTAACCTCCAAGGTACCCCATTTTGCCCCACAAACAACTAAGTCTAAATAACTAATCACAGTGAATATAGTTCTACTCTTTCATGCAAATTATTGAGAAAAAAAGAAAAGAAAAAAGAAAACACAAAAGAAAAATTTTTAAAATCTCATCTTATTGCAGTTTAAACTTATGAAAAGTGATTTGGATGACGCTAAAAATTTCATTCCACATAAACTGCATATAAACAAAGATAGTCATTAAAAATCTAAAAACTAATAACTGTTTGCCATTTGAATAACTTTCAAAAATTCTTTATTGTCGAATTGTATTGGCATAATTTTGGGAGAAAAAATACATCGAAAGATAGTGCCAAATCGAGTAAATATCCATCATCAGTTTATTTGTGAAAATTAAAGGAAAAGGATTAAAAGTGTTTTTAGAATTTTACTATCCCAAAAATCGAAAGTAGAGTTGTGTTGGAAGAGGAGGGGCCTCTTAACATTTGTTATGAATGACACTATTTCATCATAACTAACATTGCATCTTATTACCTCTTTTTATATCTTAAGTTGTTCTAATTTGATTAAAATAAATAATGGAATCATAACTATAGACACGTTTTTGATTTGTAATCAATGAGCCAAATGATTACTTTTATAGTAGATACTACAGTATACACTGTTAAAGCTCATTGACAGGTAAAGTATATTTAAGCTATCTAGTGTTGAAACCTCGTAATGCTCGAGTTTGATGCTCCTTTTCATTTAATTTCTAAACGACTATAAGAAAAGTAGATAAAAATAGATAAAAATATAATCAGTCAGAGATTTTACTCTAGATAGTGTTTTAGCCCTATCTAGACAAGCCCTATTTTGTTAACAATTTTTCCCGAAAATAAAAATAGTCAATCAATGTGGAATGTCTACCAAAATAGATGATCTAAACACATGAATTTTCTACGCCAAATTCCACAGCT